AGATTTGTTAGCAGAATATTTGCTTAAATATCTCCTCTAAAAGACTTTCTTATCACTGGAGAGCTAACTGCATGCCTTCAGTGGCCTGGAAAAATTAAGAGGCTGTTTTTTCTGTGGCTGCTTTCTCAGCACCTAATGCCATCAGGTTTTATGCTCAACAGGTGCTCAAACACTTTTAGACTTTGCAGGGATTTTATTGGATTTGAAAGGAGGAGGGCACAAATTGAGTGGATGAGGACTTACAGGCAGCTTTTTTTTTTTTTTTCCCTATAAAAAGCACTATATGTCTCCAACAGAAAGATTCAGAGTGTCATAGAGAGACCTCTATGACTATTTCACACTTAAGTATTTTATGAAATAATATGAATGGAATGAACCAGAAAACTGAGCAGGATTTATAATGACCTCCATTCAAGTAATAAGGGAAATCTTCATGTGAGGGAAGACCTGTGTTCAGTTCCACTATTTTTGCTTTCTTTCATGAGAACATCCTAAGAGCTGCAAGAATGCTGTGAGGTCGCTCTGCTTGGATGTGTTTCATGTGGCATCAAATATTTAGGTGCTCATTAATCCAAAGAACAGGAGTGTTAGAGCAATCCTCCTGTCCTTGGTTAGGGCATGTCCTTGAGAGCTGCTCCAGGTCTTTACCCACTCCAGTGTGTTTTATCTGCTTCAGCTACAGCAGTTCGTTCACTGCACAGGAAGCTCATTGAGAGATGCCATGAGCATTACTCATTATTGTGTTTTCTACATTGGAGAAAGGAGACTAAGGGGGCAGACACACTTAGCCACCTGATGTTCAGCCTGATTTGCATGCTTGTTTGATGAGATGCCTGAAATCCCTCAAGAACTCTGAATAATGATGATTTTCGTTGTTCTAAATATTTTAATCCTGCTGGGCAGAGTATGGGGAGGAGAAACAGCCCCACTCCTTAGCAGCAGTATGGAAAATCTACTATTTGTAGGGATCCTTACTTGAGCTTGCATATAACTTGTTCACAGGAACAAAACGAAGGTAGGACGGATAGATAACAAGAAAGTCCCTGTCTTTAATTTTCTTGTTTTGGCAGCATCTGTCTGAAGCCCAGATTCAAGACTCTGAGAAGCCTTCTGTCTTTCCTGTTGTTGCACAAGTCAAGCTAGCTGACTGCAGGACAAAGTGTTGGGTGTATCACAGGATGATAAATAGCAAAAGGGTGGGTTCCCTTTAACAAAGAGCAGCTCTCTCCTTGCCAGCAGGAGCTGTGCTGTCAGATGAGAGTTACATCAGGTGCAATGCATCATCTGGGAGATGTGATTTGGCTCCAATTAAAACCTCACGCTGTAAGTACAGGATTCCTTGCTCTGCATTTTTTTTTTTTTTTTTTTTTTTTTTTTCATTTTTGTATTAAGAAAAGAAGAAAGAGGCAATTGGTAATAATTGTAGATTAAAAAAATAATGCAACTCACATTAGAGAGACAATGTTGGGAGTTTTTTCAGGAACTGCAGAAGTCAAGGGAAGTGAGGAAGGCAATAACCTTACTTATGTCAGCTGCTGGAGAAGGCAGCAATGGCAGCAGGCTGCACATGAAGCCCAGTGCTTCCAGCCCCATGTCCCAGCATTGCTGCTTTGCCTCTGCATGGTCTGAGGCCCAGCCTCACCTTTCTGGCACCACATTGCTGCCACCTGCTCCATGTTCCCCACCAGGTGTGGCCCCCACCCTTCTCCCAGCAGGCTGGCAGCCTAAGGAGGCAGATTTCAAGGCCTACAGGAGACCAAAGATCTGGGATAATCATTAGCCAGAAAATCAATCGTGGTCATTACTTAATCACCGGGAGGAGATAGCTCGTCTCTGAGTTTTATTTGCTAGAGATAACAGATCTAAAAGAAATAATCTGATGAAACAGTTGAATCATAGGTCAGAAACCAGCGTGATGATAGTGTAGGAGGGGTTACAAACTTTTCAACCCCCAGCATCCTGCAGAACCAACTGTTGGCTGGGCATTTTTCTTCCCCAGAAAGATCCCAGCACCTTCTGGACCATTCAGCTAGACACTTTTTGTTATATATCCCAAGAAAATGAGTTTCAGGGGAATTTTAATACCGGTGCCATCACTTGTTATGCATACTTCAGTAACTAAAAGTGAATAATGACTTAACTATAACATCTGGACAGTGCATATCTCTGTCTCCCTGGGCTTCCCCAACTAATGCAAGGTAGTTGTGGAAGTCCCCTTCAGTCTGTGGCAAGTCAAAAACTTTCTTAGTATTAAACAAAACCACAATTTTCTGCCATGGCCACTACCGTGACAGGCCTTCCATTACAGCCTCAGTAGCTGCATGAGTGGGGGCCTGTAAAAAAGGCAGATAACCTTCCCACAGACTGCACTTACGTAATAGGGGAGAAGAAACTCAGCCCTGCACTGCTTCAGAATTACATTTGTGGCTTTTTCTACTCTGGTCTTTTCTCTGGCTGCAGAAATAAAGATGCAGTGCAGTGAGGGAGGCAGCATAGGTCTCTGCTACCGAACGTTGGTACAGCTTTTGTCCAAATACACTCAGGGTGCAAAAGCACTCTGACCACCAGCACTTGAGGAGTTGTCTTTCCTGGCAGGGAGGCAGCAGAGAGCTGTGGATGTGGCACCACCCTTTCCAGCAGCTTCAGAAGGTAAATGTCCCTGTTGGGAGCAGCTGCACAGCCTGCATCGCCATCTGTTCTCCTCTTGGGAGAGTCCTCCTGAGTTTGATTTTCAGCTGCCAGCAGGCTGAGCAATAGGATGTGTTGGGGACACCACCTGCACCTGTTCCAGAGCCTGAAGCACCAGCCTATGTGTTGAGGCCATCTGGTGAAACTGGGAGCCGGAAACTGAAACCTCTGTGATGAAAGGGTGGTGAGGGCTGTGTTTGTGTAGCTGTTTCTTCATAGAGGCTCTCATGGGAGGGCTGGAGCACTGGGCATGGTTTATTCAGCAGCGTGGGCCCTACCCCAGGTTTTTAATTCAGTGTGAGATCTGCAGAGAGCTGAACCTCCATTTGTCCTCACCGCCACTTCTCCACACCACTTCTTTTTGCCTCAGGAGGCTGTTACCCTGCTCTTCCTTGACACTTCACCTGTACCATCCCAGGCTGGCAGAGCATGACATTCAGACTCCTGAAGAAAAGGCCCCGATCCCCCAGCCAACCACCAAGCTCCTGCTGAGATGGGTGCAGGCAGAGCAAGGCAAGGCTGGGGAAATGCAGCTCAGACCAGGTCTGGGTAGACAGGCCTTCTGCCCAGGTTGGTTCCTCTGGAAGAGTGGGGGCAGGCTCCCCTTTTATCATTCACCAGGCAGGAAGAACAAATGTTTGTGTGTTTTGAGCACAGGGCAACCACAAAGGCCACCAAGAGGGTGAAGGGGCCAGTGAAGGGGGCAGCCAGCATCTGCAGCTCGGCTACCAGAGTGCTGCAGGAGTGACGGATTGCTTGGATTCTTTAAGGCCATAAACACTTCCCAGCAGGGCCAGCCTCCTGGGGGGAGCAGCTGATTATTTTTGTCTTTTAAGTGATTTACTGCTGATAACCCGACCAAGCTTTAAGCGCTTGATAGTGGGCGATGATCAAACACCCAGCAGACTATGGAGCTGGAAGGAAACACCCTGTCTTTCAAAACCCAGCCTGACTCCAAGCAAACACACAGATATGCTTTCTTGTAGATGCTGGGGACCAGCACCCCTCTTGCCCTCCTTGGCGACCCTGCTGGGCTGCACCCTCACTGCAGCATGCCGGGTTGTGCTCATGAAGCCTGGTGTACTCTTCAAGGTTTGGCAGGAAACATAACTCTTGCAGAGCAGCATGGATGCAGTCCCTGTCACTCCAGTATTTCAGCCCTTGCCTAAGCGTGCTGTTATTTTTAGATAGAAAATTACAGACGTGATTTTTCATTTTGAAGCCAGAAGATAAGAGTCTAGGGCCAGTCCCAGGTTTACCTACTGGCTGGATGCTAACCAGGCACTTCCATTAATTTGGGTCTGTGCATTCTTCCCACAACCATGTGCAAAACACAGCTCCATTGAAAAATACATTTAATCAGATGGATATTCTGCCAGCACTTGCACATGCTGATATGATCTGAAGTGTTGATGGAAGTAGTTGGGTTTTTTTTTGGTGTGTTTTCCATTAAAGGGCATGAGATGTGGCAGACATAATGCCGCTGCTCTCCACAGTCACAGTAATTAATGACAGAGAAAACAGATTTCATTTATGAAGTCACTCAAGATCCTCGGATGAAATGTTGAGTAAGTGCTAAGTATTATTTGTCTTCACTATTCAATATTAATGCACCAGCAATTAAACTCTTTCTGTACCATCTGCCTTACATACTGGAATTTCTTACAGAGAGGTATTAGTCTAAACAGGTGAAAAGCTCTTAGAAGATTGCTTCTACCTAACCCCAACATAACATGCAAAATTAACTATTAGTAACAAGCCTGTTTTTTCTTTTGACCAGTAATCTCTTGCCACAGGCCGTTAATGAATCTATTCTAATGGATTTGTTACAGCACTAGCACATTTGTGATGATTACTGAGCAAGTGAAGTTGTAAATAAACAATACTTAGTAAAGTTGGAATTTTCATGTTCCTGAGTGTTACAGCCCCTTCTGGGTCTCAGCTTTAGCAGCTATAAAACAGGCAGTATCTTTGTGCCATGTCATGTGCACAAGAGGTGTAAATCAATTTACAGAGTATGACTCAAAAGCCCAGTAAATCTGCGTAGGGCTGCTTTTATCTTGCTTGTAGACTTAAAGAATTCAGTGCTTTTAAGCAGCAGGCAGAATGAATGTTTGGATCCCCCCCAGTCCCTCGTTCGTAGTCTGTAAGTTAGCATGAAATAAATTTTTATTGTATCTGTATCTTTAAGATATTCCTTCAGGCTATTTGGGAAATCCCAAACCGAGTTATACTTACACATTGCATTTGCAATGGAAAAGTCCTTACTTTCATCCGTGTAGCTATCTAATAGTGAAGGAAGAATAGAAAAAGTGTGGTAGAGTTCTTTATTTCAGATTGCATAAAAATACAGAAGCACTCCATTTAAAAAAAAAAAACAGAGGTAAGTTCATTCTCTCTAACTGCAAGAGAAAACAACTGGTTACCACTTAAAACTGCTTGCGTGCTTAAAAGCAGAGATGTGTACTTTAAAAATAAAATGTAAGAGATAAATAAGCAACAGGCCCAAGCAAGTGCATCGTTTGAGTTGCTTGAAGTACTTCTCCACTGTAACACACTTATGCATACCATGATGAATGAGCACAGTCACTGCTCGTACTTTTTAATGTGTTTGAATCGCCTTCTGACTCACCCCTCAAATAAATACAGTGGCAAACATAACCTACAACTACCTGAAAACTCAGCAGACATGGAGACAACCAGAAAGCTCTGCAGTCCACGGGTTTTGCACCACCCTCGGATTACTTCACTGATTTTACAGTTATGAGGTACACACAGTACTAACGTATGATCCAGTGATCCAATGCATTTCTACTCTGATAAAACATAACTAGTGTATCACAGGTTTGTTTTTTCTTTTTTGCTATAAAGTCATATTAAAATGTTTAAAACTGCAAACAAATAAATACACATGCATATATACATAGTGCCAGACGTTACAGTACTCTCTCTTTTACCACAGACTTAATAGAAAGAAAAGTAACATCAAGTGTTACAAAATTACAGGGAGCTTTTCTATTTTCCTGCTAGAGCTAATGACAGCTGCCATGACACAGCTCTGCAGAGGCCACAGCAGTTCTGATGCTGCAATTATCACAACTGCAAAAATATGCTCATAGCCTCATTCCTCTACTTGTATCTGTGAACTCACAGACAGAAATAAAATCAATTAATTGCACTTATAAATCAGATCCAGCAGATTCCTAAGGGACATAAATCTTGGTAGCAGAAGCCACTGATTCAAATGACCAATTAAGAGACAGCGTAAAATCTTCATGATGCAAATGCTTTTTTTTCCCATGTCAGTCTACATCTATGCCAAGTAATGGAAATTTTACACTGAAGTACCAAAACAACAACAACAACAACAACAACAAAATCAACAAAAAACCCAAAGAAGAAAAGCAGTTCTCAGCTCTTTTTGCTACTTGCATATTAGCACAGAGGTTAAAGAGAAGTACTGATTGCTTAATGTACAGATGCTGATAACCTGAAATTGTGACAACCTTCTAGGAGATTCATACTGCTGCCCAGAGGACTCTGGCAACTTGGTTTTCTCAGGAAGGAGGTTTCCGATGAATTCACTGGGTTCCGCTGCAGTTTAGGGGAGCTGCTCTTATGCACTATCCACAAGGTAACAGATAGAAGATGTGATGAGATCAATGCCCCTTCGGGGAGTAGGGAGGAAGGTTCAGCAGATAGACTCAAGAGCAGCTCAGAAACCTAACTTGTGCTTTGACATCAATCACTAGATTTTAATATTCTTCTGCTTTCCCATAATTATGCTTGTAGTTACATGATATTATTACACTAACTCAACAATAAAAATAGCAAATTTATAGCAAAACAGTTACAAAAATAGCAAACTATATATATCTTGCATCGTTCCACTTCAAAAACATTGTCAATGTTTTATAATAATAGTAGATTTTTTTTGCTCGCTTCTTGGCCACAGTCCTTATTGAAGAAGACACTACATACAAGTCAGTGTCATTTTTAAGGCACTACAAAAACCAGGTCTGAATACAAAGCCTACAGAAGGCTGCATGAGAAGTTAAGGTGCCAAGACTAGGAGCGGCTGTACTGCACTGCGCTGTACTTGGTGACCCTGGAGGACTTGCTCAGCGTGGAGCTGGCAGGAGGTGCCCCCTCCAGAGGGCTCAGCAGGGAGTCCGTGATCAGCACCTGTTCAGCTCTACCAGGCCCTGCTGAGGCTGTAAGGTCATTCTCATTCACCACCATGCTCTGCCCTTCAGACAAGGTGGGAAAGCTCGGTGAGCCCTGCTCAGTGCTGGGCACAAGCACCGTCTCCCGCTCCCTCACCACCACATACCTTGAGTTGGGGAGGTCCTGAACTGCCATGGTTCCTACCCCAGGGCCCTCTGACGTCACCATCCTTTCTGTAACCACCACGTTGCTTCCGGAGGGCAGGCTGGGGACTTCCACCATTCCCCTCAAGCTCGAGGCAGGAGCCAGCACCCTTTCTGTCACCACTATGTTCTCCTTAAACTGGGGATCTAAAAAGCTGGCAGTTGAGTGGCTATGGCCCTCTGCAGAATAGGATGTTTCCTCCGATACTACAGCACCTCCTGCCTGCACTGATGGGGTGGGTGAGAAGTAGCCACCTGAGGCAGAGGCCTGTTTGGAGCTGAAAGCCTTTTGCTCATTAACATCAAAACTGGATTCATTCTTGGAGCTACCGTCTTTCATGTCGATGCGTCTGCCTATGCATATTTCTGCCAGAGTCTTAAATTTGTCTCCTAAATCATCAAGAAAGCGGTCGTCAAGATCACCCTCAATAAAGCTGCAGCAGCCGATGGAGCCATGGGGGGAGCTTGACTCCCCCTGAGAATAAACCAGGAGACAGTCCCTTGCAGCTTGAGCTTCATCTTCCGCAAAAGAGACAGCTTTCTAAAGATGGGAAGCAAAAGAAAGCAAAAGTTTGTTAACCTTTTTACTACTTTACTACTACTTTACTAACCTTACTACTAGACATAGTAAACTTGAAAGAAATCAGGAATCGTTAAATCACAGAATCATAGAATTGCTCAGATTGGAAAAGTCCTTAAAGATCATCAAGTCCAACCACAATCTAACCAAACCCACCGCTAAATTATGTCCCTGAGCACCACATCCGAACAGTTTCCCAAACTTTCTAAACACATCCAGGGATGGTGACTCAACCACCTCCCTGGGCAGCCTATTCCAGTGCTTATCAACCTTTCTGTAAAGAAGTGTTTCCTGATATCCAACCTAAACTTTCCCTGGCACAACTTGAGGCCATTTCCCCTCATCCTGTCACCTGTCACCAGTGAGAAGAGATCACCCCCAGTCTCGCTGTAAGCAGCTTTCAGGTATTTGGAGATAGCAATAAGGTCTTCCCTCAGCCTTCTCTTCCCCAGACTGAACAGCCCCAGTTCCTTCAGTCGCTCCTCAAAGGGCATATTCTCCAAGCCCTTTACAAACCTTGAATGCTTGGTCAAGGGGATTATAATAACAGCATCTGTCAACCAATCAGAGCAGGGCCTAGAACTGCTTTTTGCTTTTTTGAAGTTTCTCTGAGCTGGACAGTGAAGTGATGAGAAGAAAAAAGAGTACTTCGGAATGTAATGGAAAGCCTTGGGTACATCACCATCTGCTACTTCTCCCAGATAACCATTTATGATACCACTCCTTTCTCAAAAAGAGTCTACTCACATTTTGCTTCAGTGAATAACTCTCACCTGTAACTAGGTCTTTGTGGGAGAGTGCCAGCGCCATGTCTGAGAGTATCTAACATTTAAGAGTATATTTCATGAGAAAAGGCTGACATATCATCACTGTCATGGCTCTTTTCATTTCTGTAGCCTGCAGGATCACACCCAAGTGAACAAATTATTGAGTTAAACAGTTTGGTATGTATGGGAACATACCCCAGCATACACTGGCTCTACCCAGAACAAGAAGGATTAACCAAGTTCTGACTGTACCTTTTCCAAGGCAAGCTCAGTCTGAAGACAGCATCTGCAACTGGGTTGCTGCTGATGCTGGCACAAATCTTTGTATGCTCTTGCAGCAGCTCCAGTTGCAGGAGTAGAGGTGGCCAAATCCTTTGGGGCTGCTGAACCAGCTTTACTAATATGGTTGCTGGCTCGTGCTCAGACCCACTCATGCCATATTTGAAGTACTGTAGTACTTATTAGCTCAGGCATCTGTGTAATGTGGTATGTATCCAGATCCAAACTGATTATGTATATTTTCCTGCATTTGATCCTGGGAGCAGACATATCATCTGAGATGCTTCTACAGAAATCAGCACACACATGGAACTAATTGGTTCAGATATTTTTCTAGTTTGTTCTTTACTCTTTTCTCATTCATTATTAGTTCTGTATCTGAAGTATTTTAGTCACCCAACTTTAGCCACCCAAAGGACTATAACATTAACTAACCTGTTATCATCAGTTGTATAATATCTACTAAGCATCTCCTGCAAGATTTCAGCAGGCAGCTGTGCTTGGAATGTCTTAACATTCAGAAGCAAAATGAGCAGAATCGCTACTGTTGTGTCTGCTCACCTAGATCAGTAGTCAGAACACAAAGAAGATACACAAATCCTTCCCTAGCCTGAGGTGACTCAAACCTGCACAGCTACTCTCCTGCCCAGCCCCATTGTCAGTCATCTATAGAGACTGAAGATGTTTAATTTGTAGACGTGAAGGATGATCTCTGCACTCCCTGGCATACAGAAGTGGAACCTTCCCCTGTTAGTAGCTCACCAGCCAAGTAATAACAGAAAGAGGAACAGTTACAATGAATAGGATTATCCTATTGTTCAATAGTTAGGTTGCAAAAAAATAATTCAGAGAAGGGATTGCAACATATGCTTGATGTGCATCTGGTGAACTGCCTTTCACCCAAACTACTGCACAACCAGACAAATCCAGCACCTCTTAATCAGCTGTTTTTAAAATGCAGTCCCACCCTACTATTTGACGTCTATGGCTTATCTTTCAAAAACTTGCTTTGTGAAAGGTTTGTAGCCGTGACTCATCTAGAGTCACCAGTGCCTCCCTGCAGGACAGTTACTATGCTCAAGTCCCCGACGTTTATATCACATCATCTTCCTCATTGCTTCTTCCTGCATATGGCTCCTTGTTCACTGCTAAATATTCTGAATCCCAAACCTTGAGAAGGGTCTTGTCACTGAAGATCATGTAAAAACCCAAAGATGCTACAAAACTTAGCACTGTCGAGGTCTACATCCCACATGTGAGCCTAACTCAAAAGTCCTTAACAGCCCACTCACACACACACAGCACTGACCCTTATCAGGATTGTTTACATATAAACAATCCGTTCATGTTTATAATAACATAAAAAAGCATTTCACAATGCTAAGCATACATCTCAATATACTGTTATTCTCAGGTCATATGCTTACGTCAGTGAAGTAATCTCTTAAAAATTCTTCATTCATGGCCCCTGCAGATCCCATCGCCACACCTCCTCCAGTCACCACCACGTTGCCTTCTCCAGATACCATGCCTACAGACCCTCCAGTTGCTGTGGTTCTGGTATGGTAATCAGCACGATGAAGTTGTCTTTGCTCTTCCCTGGTAATCATGTTGTTCTGCCCTCTTATGTAAGAGGCGGAACTGCTTCCTCCTGCTGCAGCTTCCTCTGCACTCATTCCTGCTGCCGCCGCTGCTGCTGTTACTGCTGCTCCGCTGGCCGGTCCCTTCAAGTTCCCCGATGCAGTGGGTAGCATAACACTTTGCATTAACTGCAAGAAAAACACGAATGAGGATGTGACATGAAAGCTAGGCTATCTAGCATATGGAGTTCACCAAACCAGCAGCCAGGCTGGGTGGAACCTGGGAGGGTGCTGAGTTAGGACATGTTCGAATTTGTACTGATTCATGTTGCTGCACAGTAAAGAGCTTTCTGAAAGAGGGTGCAGCTTCCATGACTGTGTTCCCAAGGAGGATCACAGAAGTATTTCCACAGGTCATTGTTCTTAAAACTCAAAGGGTTGAGAATGAAAGAGGGGGGAAAATAAACAAGAAAAAGACCTGTGAAACTCCAGTGTGCTCAGCCTTCCAACTATGGGGAGCATGCAATGCCTGCTGTCCCTGTAGTGCTACCTGGCCCTTTCTTCTTTTCTTAGCTTCCCTGTCAAATTCACAATCTTTCATCAAGAATTTGGTGTGAGTGCTGGCCCTAAAAAAAAAAGCTTTTTCCCTTATTTCTTATTGTCATGCAAAAACAGGCTGGTGTCATACCCTTTTGTCTGTTTGTATAGGACAACAAGAAGAAACACCTCTAGCATTCATTTCTCTATTGCATTCCCTCTGCATTTTGAAGTTTTTTTTCTGCCTTTTTAAAAAATTGTAATAATATTGAAATCGTATTAACTTTATTTTTTAATAATCCTTTGTTTAAGAAGATAAACACACAAGAAAGTAATTTAAAATGCAACCTGAAGCTCTGAACTGGTGATGGGAAGCTAAGCTTTATAACCCGATCATTCACAGCTTTACAGCTTTACCGTACACTCCCAAACAGGCAGTGAACATTCCAGGCTTGCAGATGCAAATAGCATGGATGCTTTTCCCACACTTTATCTTCTAATCAGATACTATCAGCATGTGCTTGATTCCTTTGCCTTTACTTTGGGATTTTAACACTATGGTTGGTGTTTCTAGAGTTGCTGTTGGAATTCCCTTTCCATGCATCCTTCATTGAGCCTGATGGGGTTAACTTTAATTAATATTCATGTGTGGCTAAAATCTGCTGTGCAGGTTGAAAACATCAGCCCATTATGCGGTAGAGACGAGTGCAAAACTGAGCACTTGGCTGGAAATCAAAGAAAAATGCTGCTAGGGAAAACCTGCCTTCTCCTCAGGAGCTGCTCCTTCACTGTTCCATTTACGCAACATCTCTTCGCTACAGTCTGGTATTGCAGCAAATCCCTTCTTTGCTCCTGAGCCGCACGGACACAACAGCAGTAATAGCGGAATAACTGCAGGGAAACACAAGTTTGTCATTTGTGATGGACTGACTAGGGTCAAAGCATGTTAACAGCCAATACTGAAGTCTGGCCAGCAACGCGTCTTTAATGAGTTAAAGAACATCATACGAGCAAATAAGGAGTGCAGTCAATTCCCAGAAGTTCAAGGTATTTCCTGGAAACATAAGCAGGGATTTTTTTCTAAACAGTAAACTGACAGTGAACCTGTCACTCCTGCAGATGATTTTGCATGTATTTATCCTTACTTCTACTGAAGATCTCATGTAGAAAAACCAGCCCCAAAAGTGTACAACCTCAGCATTTCCAACTCCTGTCCTGTTACTAACTACATCAAGACATCTCCATATGGAACACTCCCATGAGAGGATGCATTTACAGCATTACCTAGAGAGCTCAAAATGATTCAATTTCAGAAGGAAAACATACTTCTGTGGAATTAACTTTGTTTTCTCATAGCCAGAGCGCTACTACTACAAACAATGAATTATTGTCCTTTCAAATTACTGCCCATTCATTCTTGTCTAGTAGTTGGCGACCCTGCACATAGCAGGGGGGTTGAAACTAGGTGATCATTGTGGTCCATTTCAACCCAGGCTATTCTAGGATTCTATGATTCAAATGCAGTACTAGTATAAATGGCCATACCCTGACTGCAAGTATTTCTCTTGTTTTTCAGCTTTTGCCTTGTCTTACCAATGTGACTTCTTACATTATGTACTGCTCAGATTAAGGAACCAGACCTGGGTCTGTAATTAGGGAGAAGATTGAGAGAGTGCTGTGATTTGAGTGAGAAGAGCTAGGGTTCACACAGGGAAGTGTGGGAAATGCTAAAAGGATACCTTAGTGTTTCCCCACCTATTATTTATGGCGTTATAAACTAATACTATGATCTGTACATATTAACTTCAAAATGCACAGCTTCTGAATGTATAGTGCTGATATTGCAAAAACGAACTGGAGATCTGCCATGACTGCACACAGCCTAGGAGTTTACATGAAGTACACCAAGATGATAAAACCTGGGAGCACAACAGTTTACTCCCTGGTGCTTTGTGGACCGTATTTGTGGCGCTTCTGACATAACATGAAATGATTACTTACGCAGCAGAAGCAAAAATGCCAAGATGATTAGTGCAATCGCTCCTGGTCCCAGACTTGCTGACCCAGTGCCAGTAATTCTATCTTTGCATCCGCCGTCAGCAGTGCACGTACAAACAAACAGTTGCAGAGATTGTGGCTGAGCACAGCTGAACCCTTGGAAATCCTGTATTAGCAGGGGGACTTCAGTACTGCCTGCCTTCAGGTCCTGGGGAACCAACCGTACACTGGTGGCTAAAGCAGAAGGGTGGGGTTAGTGAAAAAGAAAAAAAGAATACAAAACGAGTGGACAGAAAGTTAACTCCTGTAAACCTTCTCAAACTCCCAACAAGCTCCCTCCGTTTAGGACCAGTCAATGCAACCCAACTTAAATTTATGTCCGTGGCAGCATATGTGCTTTTTTATTTAATCACGTAATTTACGCTGGTAACAAATGGCCATGTTCTCTTGAAGACTCAGAAAATCACAGAAGAGCTTTGCACCAGCAGAGACCATCACAAAAGATAGTCTGATTGCTTACAGAGCACTAACCTTCACTTCATCCAGTTAGCTAAAGGCTGAATTCACAAAAATCAACTTCTGTCATTAGGAGATTAACTTGCTGTAAGCTACTGGCAGACATATTACCATGCCATGTCTAGGACAGGACTGGGCAACAGGCGCCCAAGAGATCCCGGATGAGGAGGCGAATACCATCCTGTTTTGAAAAGCTGTAATCTCTGTAATTGCTGCTAGTCTGGCTACAAGCAGGGTGAGGAAAGGCAAGATTTCTTTTTCAGTCCTAAACTGTGATTAGGACTGTGCTGATTGCTCTGCAGTGTTGTGTTGTAGGATTATGAATAACAAGAATTGTTCTGAGAAGAAAAAGTATTTTCTAGTGTCTTCAGTCTACCTGAAGCATTTCCTTCAAGTGTTTCCCAGGTTTACAAGAATGGGAATGTAAGAAGAAAATGCGAATCTAGTTTTGAAATACTCATTAAAATAATTTTTGATTTATGATCTACATATGGCTGGCTCATCAAATTAGACTAAAATGGTCCAGTTGAGGGAAGGCAACAGGCCCCAGAACACGATTATTTTTATAGCTGATAGAGGGAAGGCATCAGAACACAAGCAACATGTCCTCAGATGTGATTTCATATATGAATTATGTTTTGTCTGGATCAGTCAAGCTGAATTATTGGAATTAGCAAAGTGCAACACTCCTGTAGAACTCCAGAAAACTGAAAGTAATTCAACATATTTTTTCTTACCATTTTTGGATGCAATTATCCATTTTCTTGCAGTTCCTTCTGGCTCATCAATGACAGAAAAGCTGTAGGGAGCACTGTTTGGGTAACTATCTATATCACTAGCTGTAACATCAACAAACTCTGCATCTAAACACACAGTCCGTACAGGGTTCTCAATAACTGGGCAGTTATCATTCTCATCTTGAACTTGAATAACAACGGTGCCAGTGGCTGTTTTTGTAGGAAGATCTAAGGTTACAAAATATGAAAAATTAAATCAACATTTGACAAGTACAGAAATTTTGTCTTAAAATAAAAAAACCCAACATCTTCCCAAACATAAGCACTTCTGAAATGAGTTTATGGGAGCAATGTTTCATTCCTAATGTCAATGACTGTGTTGACAAAGTTCTTCTGAAGGCAAGTTGTTTTACTACCTTAATGTAAAAATGTATTTCTTGTGCATAGCTACACAATAATAAGCAGGTTACAAAGAATTCTAACTAGCTATACAAGAAATTCAGAGATTCTTTCCAACTTAGCTTTCCAGAAAATTTAGGACTTTGAAATCTGCTTATTATTATAGTGAGATACTGACAATTTCCACCTATGTCTTCACAAAACTTGTTTTAAAAACTTGTCTTGATACAGTCAAAGAAAAACAAGCATCCTGGCAACCCAGTCCAAGGTTTGTCCCATTTCATAGAGTTGCCTTTGTCCCTCCACAGAGCCTACTGGAAACTGCACTGGGCACCTAAATTTTAGGCAGTTGAAGGTAGGGAGGTTAAGCCAACTGTAGCCATAGAAATACAAACTGAGCCCTTAAAAATAATAATAAAAAAAACCCAACACCTCCCCTCCCCCCCAAGGAAATTAACAAAAGACACCAGATCCAGCAAAGCAGAAACAGAACTTTCTAAACTTACCAGTAGTTACACCCAACATGGTAAAAGCGTAGGTACCATTTACTACATAACGTGATTCGTAATCGAGGTTTTTAGCAAGTTGGATTTCACCTGTATTTGAATTTATCGTGATCCAGTTTGCTGGGTCTCTTCCTTTGATATATCTGATGAAAATCACATAAAAAAGTAAAAATATCATACTTAGAAGATCAAAACAACCACCAGAAGAAAAAACAGCTTCATACTATGCCTACTCTTTGTGCAGGCCAAACTCTGACACTGCTGCCAATGTAATTGTTTTCAACTATTAACCTTAGATTATAAACCTACCCTGGCTGTTGAAACCTGCTTTTCCCTCTCAAGCCAGCCAGGACATAGGTGTGGCAGTGTTATCGAGTGAAACAAGAATGCCTGTTCCACTAGAGAGGCAGCGTGCTGCTGACCACGATGCTCCCCTTCCCCTGACCCTCCTCCCAGCCATGGGTGAGCAGCAGCCCCCTGGAAAGGCTGTATAACAGGCATGAAGAAAGGGACCCAGGGTGAGATTTGTACCTCTGTCAGTTCGTAACACTTCTAAATGCCACCACAGTGGTAGTTCAACAATGTTTTAGCTGATGTGCTACAATTCAAAAGCTAAAGACAGCCACATGAATGCATATGCAGGCTTATCTACCCAAACATCCTTTTTTGTTCAATTTCTGCGTGTTTCTCTATACTCCTTCCTGATAATTCTGCATGTAACTATGGACAACTTCAGCACAAGCACTCATAATTTACCAGAAAATAAATGGTATTTTCAAATCAGTCATTTTCTGCCAAATAGAATATTGATAGTAATGGTGTTCTTTTAGTTGTCAATTAAGCGTAGGAGAGAACAGATTTCCTCTGAAATTATTTCAGGTCAATACACACATTTTTACAGTAAGCTGTAGTTTCTGACACGCTCAATTATGAGGGATATATAAAAAGATTCTTACTTAACGTGCACTGCAGCTTTTCCAGTGTCTTCATCAATGGCTTGATACTGTCCAATGACCTGCCCTACTTGCATGCTCTCACTTGCTCCAATAATTTTTGTCCCACTGGGGAATACAAGGCCTTCCCGCACATCAATCACATTAATTTTGATCGGAATTGTTTGTGCTTTATAGCTGTTTTTAATGGACTTGTGAAATTCTGCTTTGTTTGTAACAACGATGCCCAGGTTTAGGTTTTTCATTTCTTCATAATTTAGCTCCTAGAGCAAACAAGAACAAACAAAAAATCCCTCAGAATTTGATGGTATTCGATATTGAGACAACATCCAGATGTTTAATATTTAAATAATGCTGATGGAGGACGCTACAGTGGAAAGAACCATAATTCAGCATGTTACTCTCAATTCAAAACACCTCTTGAAGAGCATGTTAAGAAGATTGCTCCTTGTTTTTCCATGGATGACAGCACTGGTATTACTTTATATTATCAAATTAATTTAAGGTATGTGCAATGAGTCCTACACAAATATTTTGCATTTGCCTTCAGTGAATCCCTACTCAGAATTATTCTACTCTTCTACATTTTTTTTAAATGATTTGAACAATTTGGTTATTTAGTAATGCCTTTTTTTTTTAATTTTTACTATTATTATTTTATTTCTAATAATTTCCAAGTTTGAGATAAGGAAAACAGAGCAGAAGAAAAATAAAGCTTAGCATACTACGCATCTTCAGCTCCTGTCACTAAAGAAGAGTGAAAGCTCCACAGAAATCCACAATGTAAATAGTCTGTAGCCATGACTCACGGAGTAGGTGCTGCATGCAGTTATCTGTGGCCATGGGAAATAAGTAAACTGAGACAAGCAAGGAGAGCAAATATGTGGGAAAGGTTACAGCATATGTGCTACTAGCACTGCTGCCCAACAACAAGGAAGATCTGGGGATTTCTGTTCCACTGGATACATAGTGCCACCACACAGAATGTGGTGAACAAAATTATTATTTTGTACAGAATGACTGAATACACCACCAAAAAATATAAGAGAAGCATCCACCACGTACATTTATAGTTTATTTACTAACTATAAATAATTTGTACATCAATCCCTATTAAGGGAATCAATTACTCTAAAGACTCACAAAGAATATACTAACCTTCACAAGAGTCAAAATTCCTTCATTTGTGTTGGTATCTGTTACTATACGAAAATAGCCACCTTCATTGCCAGAGACAAAAGAAAAGTTTGCCAACCAGTTATCAGAAAACTCTTCATCTTTATCAAATACTTTTATTCTCATAATTTCCACATTTGCTCTGTTTTCTTCAACGCTTCCTTCAAACTGCAAGAGCAAAAACATTTAAATGTAAAAAGATGTCCCAATCTACTGTATTTCATCAGTACAAGAAAGTCTGCATAAGATTTTCTTAAGCAATGGGATACCAGCAGGTGTACAAACACACCAAATATCATGGTGAATGTACTTACTGCAGAGCTTTCAAGCACAGGAAGGTTGTCGTTGACATCCAAAATCTTGATTTCTAAAGAGCATGTAGCACTATTCCCATCTGCTGCACCACCACGGTCCTTCCCTTCCACCACCAAAGAATAGCTACTTTGTGTCTGTCATAATTAAAAAAAAAAAAAAAGAAATGCTTCAACTAGTTTAAATTTTTGTTGCCTTACTGTATTATCAGTGTCTTATTTTGTCAAAACCTCTCAAGTAATGGCCAATCAAAACTCATTTTCTCTCTACTATTAAATCTTACACATAGCTCTTTCTACCGGAGTAAAGCTGAGCCTTAGAAAAGGGTTTGGGAGTTTTGTATTTTCCTCCCAAAGAGTTAGACTGTGCTCAAATGGAAAATGGAAAAATTTTAGTAGCCACGGACAGGATACAGCAATACCTGCACATTGAGGCAGATCCAGATACAGGGATAGCATCCACAGCCTCTGTGAGCTAATATAAAGATCACCATCTGCTGGTCAGTGAAAATACATGCAAGCATAAGGAAAGTTGCTGACAGTATTTGGCTTTCAACACTTTCAAAGCAGCATCATTTCTTATCCTTTGAGTCCTGATTTGTACAGCAATCTACCAAAGTCTAGATTCAACCAGCAGGTTTACAGGTTGGTGACCTGGGTGTTCTATCCACAGGCTCACCAGCAAAGAAATGGCACCCATGTGTCATGTAACTGCTGCCCAGCTGCACAGAAGGGACAGAAAACAACAGCCACCAACTGGCATAGTGAGAGGGAGGAGACAGGGTGAAAGCAGGCTTTACCTCATCCCCTCCCAAAGCCACTGGAAAACATACATCAGACAGACAAGGTATGGTCCTTTAAACCCAACTGGGATGAAGGAAGGAGAGAAGTGACAACAGGTACCAGAAGAATGCTATCAACAGATTTTTTTTATTTATTTATTTTACCTCTCTGTCAAGGTTTATTGCTGCTACTTGAACCTCGCCAGTATCTTTATTCATACTGAATGCAGAACTAGGGCTTTGGGAAATGATCTTGAATGCAATTTTGGAATTCAGGTTATTTGGTTCATCTGCATCCGTTGCATTTAACCTCATTACAATTGTACCTGAAAAAAAACCAACAAAATACAATGTTTGGTTATGCTGCCATGCACTGGCAAGTATTTTTAATGTAATGTTACAGGTAAGAGTGTGCTGCCAGATGTAATGCACAATTTTCTGATGCCCCTACCTCTGGCATATTTAACAGAGCTGAAGAATTGTTCTTGAAATTCAATTTATGTTAAAACCTCAAAAACAAAACTACATATCAACACAGATCTGAAGGTTGTAGAATTCAACTCATCACAACTACTCAGTGAGTTGAATTCTTGCAAGAATTCTGACAGAAAACTTTAGATATTGTATAAAGAAGATGGAAACTTTATTTAGACAGTAAATTGCATTTCCCTCATACGTCATTCTAAAGGAAGCAGAACAACTTTTGTACATGAACATCCATACAACAACTGTTCTTTACAGACTGACACCCTCCAACAGCTTGATTCAAAATCAATTGTGGCTCCCATGCTGCAAGCCCCTTATATGCATGACACAGGATGTTGTAATGCTGTACTTGGAAAGGGCCAACCTTATTGTCCAGCACCATTAGTTGGGTTTGAATATCAGCTGGAATTCAAGAAGAGAGACAGTTACCATATGGCTGCTACTGACTTGAAAGGCAGCTGGGGGAATTCAATACCTCACATAAATGGTTGGTCAGTAATTTCTATCTTCAGATTGCCATGGCATTGAAAAGAACAGGATATCAGGTATTTATTAGGATGTTTTATTCTGGGAAATAGTCTATTGCTCCCAGATCTGTTCTTATGTTTACTGTCGTTAATAGGAAAACTGCCAATAGCTTGTTCTGAGGTTTGGGTGATGATTGTATACTCTTAACATCGAAGTGCTTCTCCAGACTATTAAATAAAGGAGAACTTCAGAACACAGCTAGGCCATGGTTGCTAGGCCAGAAGATGGATGGAATTCTCCATGCAGTGTCTACTTAAGGCCTCCCTGGCTTAGTGGCAAGTCTGACCCAAAAACAAAGTTGGCATAAGAAGAAGTCTTGTTCTCTGTTCCCTTTATGCTCATACTTTCCCTTCATCACACTACACAACTCAGCCCTGAATAAAAACATGCATTCAAACTTGGATAACCTGTCCTACATAAGCAAGATAATGCACTATTGTTACTACAGATATGCTGCTGCACTGACTATATTCACTTCTGTCCTTGAATACATTCAGAATAGGTAAATTTAAAAATATATAAAATGTTACCTGTTTCACTTAATTCTTCAATTGAACCAACAAAAACTTCATGTGAAAACACTGGAGGATTGTCATTTATATCTAGAACTCTAACTGGAAGGTCTATTGGCTCTTCCAGTTTTGCTCCGGTCTTATCTAGAGCATGACCTCGCAACTGAAATGATTCAGACAGAAACAATAAGAAAATGAGTGACTGTAATACATATATGTGAGCACATACACAAAATATAAAATATATAGCAACTAAAACTATTAGCAGTTATATGTATGTATATATACACATACACACACATATTTAATGTTAAAAACCTACTGAAATAATTAATTTAAAACCTATTGAAATAATGTATATTTTTATTAAAAAAGGAAAGAAGAGCATTTATAAGGGTAAAGTTACTATTCAACTTACAAATAGCACTGGAGTCTTTTCTCTGTCAACCTTTCCTGTGATGTTCAAGTCTCCGGTCTTTCCATTGATAACAAACAATCCATAAGGGGGTTCTGTAACTCCTTGACCAGATATAGTATAAGTTACCACTACCCCTGTGTCTTCAAAATCAGAATGTATCTAGGAGGAGCATGATAGAGTAAATAGTAATTGGTAAATAAAACCACATTTCAAAACATATAATCCTTTTAGCTATTTTCATAATGAACAAACAAAAATTAGTATTAAATACAGTTTTTCTACATGGTTTATAGTGTTTAAGATGTTGAGATGAAAGCAGAAGAAAAAGTTACATGCTCTCTTTGAAGATCTAGTCCAAGGGAGATTAGGAATGTGATGGACAGTGCAACAGCTAGGAACCACAGAACAGAGAGAAGACTTGGACAAAGAAAGTTGGATAGCACACAAGTGCAAGGAAGAGTCTGACTGTTCCGTGTACTCCTTTCTGTCCAATCACCACCAGCAGTTTTGGGAGCTGCTAGCCAACTTGAACTAGAGCTGAGTAACTCTGGTTGGGTGGTAGAGTGAAAAAAAAATTCAAAAACGCTGCATTTCCAAAAGTATTATGAAAATTGTTGACTGGGAAAAGATGAAAGACTCAGCTGAATCAGGCTTCAAGAGTAACTCATCTTAAGAAGAAAACTGAAGGAAATGTGCCAATTTTCTACTAGTATTCAATAGTTCATTAAAATTAAAGAAACATCTGTGTCTGTGGTTAGGGCAGTTACATCTTTATTTTATATTTTCATCTCTGTGTATTCTGTATTTATCTCTTTTCAGGTCTTACTCTAGCAATTGGATTCCTATAAGAATTGTCTTCCTCTTCCCGTATGAAAGCAGGAGGGACCGTCCATTCTCGTTTCTGTCTGACAAGGCTGTTGGGATGAGTTAATGTGCCATTCTTGCCACTTCGATTATAAATCTGTGAAAAAGAACAAGGCTGAATGCCAGCGTAACATCTAGTCACTTAAGATAAAATGCTTTATTGCTGTGCTAGTCCACACTTCTGAATAGCATAGGCCATAACCTGGGCATTCTGCTTGCACAAAACCACGTGCTGACCTTACCACTTATTTTCTTCCAAGGAGGCTATACACTCTTTTAATAGTAATTTTTAAATCATAGAGCAGACTAGCCTTCTGAAGTACAATTTAAAACTACACATTCCTGAAGATGTTTGAACTGAAAAACTACAGTAATCTTTTAATCAAGACAGACATATAAAACCCAAGATTTAAATACACAGGCACATTCACATGACCAGGGTATGGTGAAAATACACCTGTTCTGACAGATCTAAGTGCTTGTCACCAGATGTGGAATGAAGTTTGCCATTGATACTGCTATAAACAACTACTTCTGCCTCATTATGCTGTTTAACATCTCATCAATACTAATACCTTCTTCTGTAATACAGGATACATGCAATAAGCAACACTGTCTCAGCTATCCTTGTCCAGGTACCCCTCATTCCTGCTGACTCCTGTCCTTCCTCCCCCTGTCCTGCTGGTATCCAGATCCACAACAAACACTGTATCATAGCAGTTGACTTCATTTATGGAGAGTTAAAAAAGATATTTACAATGTAACATTTTTGCTGAAGTTTCTTGAACATCACTCTTTTGATGGATGTGGGATTGGTCCTTTTCTTACATTTGTGCTTTCATTTTGTTACCCATTATACAGATTTCATTGTTCAGAAAATAGTAGAACTGGAGATACTTATCAAGTTAAATAAAGCATGTCTTCAATGCTTGTTTTTTTTTTTTTTTTTTTTCAGAAGGCCCTTCTTCATGTACTGATCAAGAAAAGCCTCTCTCTTACCTTCCAATGGAGTCCATTTCCACAACTGAGACAGATCTGTAATGAAAGTGAGGTTAACTATTATTATTAATTCAGTGTCGCTTTAGCAGCACGTTTCTTTATCCACTAAGAGCCCAGGATAGCTATGTATGCCCTCAGAAACTGCAGTTTGGTGCCTCTTGTTAGCTGTAAGCAACTGGAGTCTCAGTCAAATTATCAGAGATCCTGTGTTTGCATTCCTTGATGCTCCACAGGTGATTTTTATTGGTCCTAAGGCCTAAGGAAAAGTAGGCTTAGAGAAGTGATTGCCTGTTGAAGTCAGTAAACCACAGAATCATAGGGCTTGGAAGGGACCTCTAAAGATCATGTAGCCACCAGCCATAACAGGTTCCCTACAGTAAGTTGCAAAGATAGGCATCCAGGTAGATTCTAAATACCTCCAGAGAACAAGACTCCACCACTTCTCTGGGCATCCTGTGCCAGAGCTCTGTCATCCTTGCAGTAAAGTTCTTTCTCACATTCACTTGGCACTTTCTGCAGTCCAGTTTGTGCCCCTAACCCCTTGTTCTGTCACTGAAAGGAGCACGATTGCATTCACTTGACTCCTGCCCATTTGATATTTACAGGTATTGGCAAGATCCCCCATCAGCCTGCTCTTCTTCAGGCTGAACAATCTCAGGTCTCTCAGCCTTTTCTCATAAGGGGGATGCTCCAGGCCTCTCATCATCTTTGTGTCCCTCTGTTGGACTCTCTAGAAATTCCTTGTCCTGTTTGAACTGAGGAGCTCAGAACTGGACACAGTACTCCAAATGTGGTCTCACCAGAGCAGAATAGAGGGGGAGCACCAGTTCCCTCAACCTCCTGGCCACCTGATTATTCCTCCCAGGTGCAGGACTCTACACTCGCTTTTGTTGAGCCTTGTAAGATTTCTCTCCACTTATCTCTCCAGCCTGTCCAGGTCCTCCTGAACAGCAGCCCAGCCTTCAGCTGTGTCAGCTACTCCACCCAGCTCTGTATCATCAACAAGCTTGCTGAGGGTGGATTCTACCCCTTCATCCAAGCCACTAAGAATATGTTAAATACTTTGAATGTTCTCTTCGACTGGTTTTCAAACTGCTATCTGAGCTCTCACTATTGATCCCTTCCATCTTACACTGATTGCTACATCATAGCATGATAGAATATTTTAAATTTCTCTCTTTCTCACACAACGCAACACAGCAGTCAGTGGACAAGGTTGGGAAAAGCAGCAGACAGTGGTTTCAACTTGCACAACAAAACTTTTTCAAACAGCAGTCTTCCCAGTGTGTATATCCTGAAGACAAAAATCAGCAAGCAGGAGGTTCCCTAACACATTGTGAGGGCTGCAGGATCTTAAATTTTAGATCAAGCTTTTCTTATGAATATGCTTAATCTTATTTAATATTCATATGAATTTTTAAACTTTGTTTTTCTGATCAATGAGATTATACCAGTAAGGTAATGCATAACAGGGAAACACTCGTTTTCCAGTCAAGGTTTTCCAACAAGAACTACAATTCTTTAGGAAGCAGCTGTCAAAGTGTCATCTTGAACATCCTTATTTGCTTTCACAAACTGAAGGGACAAAGAATGAACAGAGACAAGGGGCATCAGGAGAGAAGTTTCCTTGTATCAGAAGCCTGAGAACAGTGTAAACTAAAGCCTGAAGTTTGCAAATATCTCAGTGGACTGAGATAAAAGAAGAGCACATCAAGAAGTAAAGAAAATCCCATTAGTCATTAGAAATAGAAAGTCTTACAAAAGAGCCTCAAGCATTCTGTTTTCTTGCTAAAAAAAGATTATTTTGTTTTTTTTACTTTTTCATCTATAATAGTCAGTGGTCCATGGGGAATTTTAAAGTGATCTAATATAGGAGTCTAACAGTGGGAATTTTGTTTATGAGATGCAAAAACACATTTGAAAGATAGGCATGTTCTGCATTTAACTGAAAATTCATGAAAGACACTAAAATTTCAAAATTAAGAAAAATATTTTTATTGAATTATTTTTCAGGAAAAGTAAAATCACACTCTACATGTGCTGAATTTTGAAATTCCCTTTTTCAACACACTACAGCTGCCTTCTATTAAGTGGCTCAGTAGGAAAACCCCCCATCTGTCACTTGGTGTGAATCACTGCCCCTGCACAAAAACTCACACATCTAGTGATGAAATCTATTGATGACAAGGAGCTGGAAAGGCATTGGCAAAAGACAACTGTATTGCTACAGAAAATTAGTCAGAAAACCTGAAGCCTGAAGTAATAAAAATGGAATGAAATACTGCAGAAAAGCAGCTGGAACAGGTGAGGTGGCAGGGGAAAAGGAGGGAGTGACTGACATGTATAGAGAGTGCAAGGCTGCTCTTGTGCAAACGTGTGCTCGTGTCTTGTGAAGGAAGTAACTGAAGAGACACATTTTGAACACACAGCTTCATTTTATATTGTGAAGATGCAGAATGAGTAAGCTAGAAGGTGTGTACACCTATTTGCTTTGCTATGAAACTAGAAACCCAACCCTATAAATGTGGTCTTGTCACATGTTGTGCTGGTCAGTTTGGTGCTGAAGACCACTGGCAAGTGGACATCCTGCACACTTACAGAAGTGAGCTGAAGGGAGGTTATCTCTGAGTCCATCTCCCTGCCCTGGGGTAGGATGAGTAACATCCATCTGCTGCCTGACAGCTGTTTAACCTGTTTCTAAAAACTAGTGATGGAGATCGCAGCATTGCTGCTGAGGACACAACAGTACTCAAGTAAAGCTTTGTGGGCTTTACTTCAGACTGAAATTAGCCTGAAACCATGGAATAAACATCCACAGAGGTGATGGAAACATCTCTCAGAACAGTTTCAATCTCAAAGAATCAGACTGTCACACTCTGGAGATTTGCTTCGAAAGCACAATTTGATCCAATCAAATAGGTGCACTCTACATCCATTGCATGTGTTTCCCATAACCAACATCAAAACAGCTATACTGAGATGTCTTAATCTCAAACTGAATCTCCCTCTTTGTCATGTAGATAATGTAACTAGGAAACAGCACAACTCCCTTTTCGTGACGATTACCTTTCACATATAAGAAAACTTATCATCCATTTTACCCACAATCCCAGTTCTTTAGTATCACTATGAGAATGATAAACTAGGAATACTTGAATTTATATTATTTTTTTTCTATTTTTTTGCTTTTTTCTAGTCTCTCCTGTAATAATTCCATTTCTTCTGATGTATGGCATCTGAGATAACACACCTCTTTAGCCAAACAGATAAAATCACAGATTTTAACATCCACAGATAAAAATCACCTCAGGCATTCCATGCCTGCTTTCATATCTCACCACAGCCCTGTCTTTTTGTTTGTTTGTTTTTAAAGATGCATGATTTGCAGACAGAAAGTAGGCTTCTTGAAATCACCTCACTTTTGCTTTTCCTAAAACTAATCAGTTCTAGAAAAACTAAAACTAGTCAGTTTTATTTGTTTGTTTCACAGAATCATAGAATCGTTTGAATTTGAAGGGACTCCCCTACAACGAACCCTTACAATGGACACCTACAGCTACATCAAGCTGCTCAGAGCCTGGTCTAGCTTGTCTTTGAATGTATACAGGGATGAGGCACCACCACATCCACTACTGGGCAACCTCTTCCACCCTTATCATAAATTTATTTTCCTTATATCCAGTCTAAATCTCCTGTCATTTGGTTTTAAACCATTATCCCATTTTCCCTTATCCTATCACAACAGACCTCACTACAGAGTATATTTCTTTCTTTCTTATACACACTTTTTAGATACTGAAAGGCTGCTTTCAAGCCTCCCCAGAGCTTTCTCTCCTCCAGACTGAACAGCCCCAGTTCTCTCAGCCTGTCCTCCAAGGGAGGTGTTCCATCCCTTGTATCATTTTTGTGGCCCTCCTTTGTATGTGCTCCAGCAGGTCTATGTCTCCTCTTGTACTGAGCACTCCACATCTGGATGCCTCACCAGTGCAGAGTAGAGGGGCAGGATCACCTCCCTCGCCCTGCTGGCCACACTTCTTTTGATGCAGCACAGGATACAGTTGGCTTTGTGGTATTGTTCCTATGAATTCTGAAAAAAAAATTGCTACTGATGGTAACATTACAATCGTGATTCCAAGTATTCCATACTAGTCTAATGTCTAAAATATCAAATATTAAGGATGTACAACCTAAGAAAACATCCACAGGAAAAAAAAAATCTCAAATCCATTCTCACTCAAATACAGGACACTTTCTAACATTTCCTCTCTCGAAGACAAAAGTGCAATGACCCTTGTTGGCTGTGCCTATGTGACAAGGCCACGGCTCCAGGTGCGTGCCCTGGACATGACCCATATTGGTCCCAACCCTACAAGCACCATCGCTGGGCATACCCTGATGTTCCTAGAGAAAGGGTAGAGGTAGAGATGGGAAAGCGCTGGGACCTTCATACAATCCTCAGGACTGATGCTATGGATATAGGTAGAAAGAGAGCACAGTCAACCAATAAGTGCTTCCAGGAAAAACAGGAAAGGAAGATCCTATAATTTTTAAGGCTTCTAATGTGGAAGGTACATTGTGATTATTATTCTTTTTTTAATTTTTGCTTTTTAGTCAGTTCTCTGGGTTTTGCAATTATCTATGTCTTCTTTGCATGCCTTTTGACATCAGTGACTCCAGTTGGATGCTCATATAAGCAGCTACTTTCACCCACAACAATGGGTTTGTCTTGATTAAAAACCACCACACACAAAAACACACACACAAAAAGGGAATACCCCATAGTTCTCTCTCCTGTCACCGACCAAGCAGGGCAGTTTTAGTCCCTGGAATATTACGTCCCGCATTAAAGCTGCAAGGCAACAGATCTCCACTCAACCTGATTTTTGGGACCTCGAGCATGAGAAATCCTGCCCAGCTCCCTGCAGCCCTCCCGAGCCCTGCTCAGCTCCCAGCCAGGCCTGGCTTCCACCCTGCCTGGGCAGTGGCTGCCCAACTTCACAGGAGTTTCACCAAGCAGGGAGAGTGAGCTGCTCAGTAATGCCTCTGATTTCAAGGAAAGCTTCTTGGGGAGTTGCTAGAAACTGCCAGAAAACACCAGCCTGAACCAAACCCAAGCTTTCTTTGGTTTCAGGACATTCAGGACTTGCTTCTAGCATGGAAAGCTGTTGCATAGGACAAAAGGTCTTAAGATTGAGAGCAGGGAAAGGGAAAACCCACGTATCTTGTATTCGTAAGAGTTTTGTATATATTTTCCCTAAGATTTCCAGTAAATGTTACGGACAATCCATTTTCCCTCCTGGCACGGCTCCTTCCAACAGGTAACACAGTTTACAGACAGTATACTGAACAAGAAGATGACAGCAGCACCAATTCCCCTAATCCTCCGGGAGCCCCGACAAAACCCACCTATCTCCAGACACAGGGACGCTCCTTTCATAGCCTTTCCCGACTTTTCCCAACTTTCGGATCTTTCTTTCATCTCCCTCCCAGGAAGCGAACACGAGAGCTGCCAAACCTCGACGGGAAGCGCCCTCCCCACGCCCCGCGCCCGCACACGGCCCCCGGGGCACCGCGTAGCGCCCGCGGTTCCCTCCCGGCTCCCACCGTCCGGCCCAGCCCCAGGCAGGGACTCACCAGCAGCGCCAGCAACGGCACCGCCGCCGCGCTACCCCGCGACATGGCCGCCGCTTGCGCGCCGCGCCCGGGACGGGGTCACCTCCTGCGGCCGTCAAGGGAAATGGAGGCGGCCCGGCGAGGGGCGCGCTAGTAGCCGCGGATGGGTGGAGAGAGCAGCCGGGGAGCGCCGGGGAGGGGGCAGGTAGCGCCCGTCTCGCCCCGCCCGGCCCCGCCCGGCCCGGCCAGACCTCGGAGAGCCCCCGGTACCGCCCCGCCGAGAAAGGACCGACAACCAACCGATAAATCAATGAGTGACTGATACAAGATACACTCGTGGGAAAATGAAACGGTGAGCTGTTTTAGCGCGGCCTTCTGACAGTTCCCGTAATCCTCTATTTAACGTGCTCCCAGCTATATCCTTCCTACTCCTATCTGGCAGAGATCTCTCCTGGATACACCTCATTAATTGATGTTGACAAAGACATAACTGCTTATTCATGATGGCGAAATAAGTAAATACCCTTCCTGTACATCCTTTGTTATAGGATGTTCTTACCTGATTGGTCTTTCTAAGATCACACTCAGTTGTTATAAATAATTTTGGAAGCAGCTGGTCATAGTGCTACCAGTGATGCTCACCAGGGAACCAGCCTTACTGCAGTCTTCTCAGTGACACAGAATCACAGAGTCACAGAATGTCCCGGGTTGGAAGCGATCTCAAGGATCATGGAGCTCCAACAGCCCCCCTTTCCCCCCCCCCCCGGCCACATGCAGGGCCACCAACCTCCACACATAAGACTAGACCAGGCTGCCCAGGGCCCCATCCAGCCTAGCCTTGAACATCTCCAGGGACAGAACATCCACAACCTTTCTGGGCAGCCTGTTCCAGCACCTCACCACCCTCATACTAAAGACACTGCATTCCCCTCGTGTGTATTGTAACAATGTGTGGTGAACAGAATCACAGAACTGCAGAATCATTAAGGTTGGAAAAGACATCCAAAGTCCCCTAGTCCAACCATCATCCCATTCCCACCATGCTACATTACTCAGTGCCAAATCTCAAAGTTTCTTGAACGCCTCCAGGGTCAGTAACTCCACCACCTCCCTGGGCAACCTCACCACTCTGAGAAGAAATTTTCCTAATATCCAGCCTGTATTGGAAGGGACCCATAAGGATCATGGAGTCCAACTCCTGGTTCCACACAGGACTACATAAAAATCAGACCATACGACTGAGAGTGTTGTCCAAACACTCTTTGAACTCCAACAGCTTGGGTCCATGACCTGGGCAGCCTGTTCCATGCCCACCATCCTCTGGCAAATAACCTTTTCCTAATAACCAAGCTCCCCCTCCCCTGACACAGCTCTATGCTGTTCCCTCGGGCCCTGTCATTGTCCCCAGAGAGCAGAATTCAGAGCTACCCCTTCACTCCTCTCACAAGGAGCTGTAGGCCACTGTGAGTCCTCTCAGCCTCCTCTGCACCAGGATGAGGAAACCAAGGGACAACAGCGACTCCTCACACACCTTGATCTCTAGACCCTTTACTATCTTTGTAGCCCTCCTTTGGACACTCTCAAATAGTTTTATGTCCTTTTTGTATTGTAGTGCCCAAAACTGCACACAGTAGTCAATGTGAGGCCACACCAGTACGGTGTAGAGCAGAACAAACCTTCTCTCAGCTGGCTGGCAATGCTGTGCTTGGTGCACCCCATGATATGGTTGCCCTTCCTGGCTGCCTGGGCACACTGTTGACTAATGAGGGACACTTGCTGTTGACCAAGAGTTTAGGGCCAGGTGTGCAGTTTGGGGCAGATCTAGCAACCAACGTGACAGGTGCAGCTAATATTAGCCAAACGCTAAAGTTCTCTTTTAGTAATTTTTGTTTAAGATAAGTGACATAGAGCATGTCTTGGAGAACATATTTATAGTTCTTACAGTTCTGTAGTATTATATTTATTTATAGTACTTTTAATATGGTGATTTATAAGTAGATTCCAATCCTAGTCTGATGCTTAAGCATAGCTTGAAAGCATTTCATTGCATCAAATGGCTGTCAGGGAAGAACCTTGATTTGCAGCTTTTGTCTTAATCTTTCAATTGGCTCTGTGGAGTTCTGAAACAGCTTTTAGTTGCCTATCCAGTGCACAGTTAAAGATGTGTTAGCAAACATACATTTACAGTCATTCGCCATTTTTGAATGCTGATACGATGGAATAAAAAGTTAATTTAATTCTCTTTGAAATATTCTTTGCAGTGCTTTCCTTTAAAAAGGAAATCTCTTCTAGCAGCTTGCCCACAGCAAGACCAGAAGCTCTTCTGCACATTATTATTTTTTTTTTTTAACAGATTAAAACAGTAATATTTTAAATATTATGAAACTTCTGTTCTCTGGTATGGAAAACTATTTCATATTTTACAGAAGGAAAATGTCTGATGTTTTGAAATAAGTGTCAAGGAGCATCAGTTTGCTTCTAACAGCTCATAGCTGTGCCAGTATCTCCTGAAGTTGAATTTCTAGCTCTTATCCACTTTAAACTGGCAGCTGCAAAACTGTCCTCCTCCCACCACAGTTCTGACCCCAAAGCCAGCATGCATGGGAGGATCCGTGCAGCATTAGATCTTTGTTTTCCTTCTGGAGATAGCAGCAGTTCAAAGTTCACAGGCTCCAGAGAACAAAGAAAATTCACCGCTGCTTTTAAAACCTTAAAAGCAGCCAAGCCCTTCTTTAGTGCTGGCCCAGGAAAGGGGCTCTCCAAGATGTACAGCATGCATCAGGTGCTATTTTCGTGAAGTACAGATGTCTGCTGGCATTCTCTCTATAGGCTTTGAATGAATTATCTTCTAAAACAATGCATATCTTTCCTGCAGAGATGGAGTGCTTGCTTCCAGAGCTGGTAATTGTCAGCACAAGCATCCTGGTGAGGTATGGTCTCACCTATGGCCTCTGTGCAAGGGGCTTAGTGACTCACCCAGCCTTGCCTGGTCCCAGTGTGGCAGCCACTCCCTCTGTGCTGAGGGAGCGGCTGGGGCAGAGGACAAGGGCATGCTTTTGATCAGCAGAGTCAAGCTCTGCCTCTTACAAAAGCAGAGGTGATCCTGCTGTTGCCGTTGAAAAGTAGGTGTTTTTTATTTGCTTCCTCCGTAAAAAAGTTGAGTTTCTTCTTTTAGTCAAGAGATCCAATCACATGACCGAAGTGCAGTATTTAGCAAGTGGGATTAAGATGGAAAATCCAGCATATATCCTCAGCAAATAGATGTTTAAATCTCATCATGATTCATGTTGAACTATTATGAAAATCTTTCCCATTGTTTGAAACTATTTCCTGAAACTTTTCTGCATTGTTTAAAGATTCTTTACTGCATAGAAGCCCCAGCTTCCACTCAGCTGTAAAAAAGATACCAGAAGAAAGTAGTGCATCAAGGCTCCACTTGCATAAAAATTACATTTAGCTATTTGAAATATCATAGAATCATACAGTAGTAGAATGGCTTCAGTTAGAAAGAACCTCAAATCTCATCCAATCTGGCCTTGAGTGCCTCCAAAGATGGGGCATATGTTAAGGATGTTGTAGATTCTGTGAAAAAATGTGCATGTTGCAGAGAAGTATCCCAAAGCCCTAGTGGCTCCTGGCATCAGTAGTCCTATCCGTGATAGCTCTCACCTCCTATAAGCTTGCAGGACCAGGGCCCCTGGTGGGAAAAATAAAAGTAGAATAAAATAATACAGAAGTACATTAGCTCCAGGGTTTGGTGCTTTGAGTAAATATTTCACACTCTCAGAATGGAGCCATTGTTTTCCTATGTGCAATAACTCTAATTCTGACTCTCCCTGCATTTTGCCCACTCTATACAAAAAATTATGCTGTTCACTGCCTTGTAATCATTAGAAATAAACTCTCAATTTCTTCAGTTTTATAGTTTTCTTCTCCTTTCCTAACAGCCAGGCTGTGGAACCCACCAGGTGCGCAGCTGCAGCAGTGAGTAATCCTGCTGAGCTGTGGGTCTGGCTGGGCTGTAACAGCATGCACCAGATTCCTGCCTTTATCACGGGCGTTTTGTTACTGCCTGACAGCACTGGAATACAAGGCCTTTTATGTATGTAAAACAAGGAGTGGCAGAACAACTCTCCTGTTGTTTCCCAGCTGCGTAGCAACCCAGCCTGCTCTAGAGGTGCCTATAGACCTTGTTTTTCAGGGCTCTGTGACTTATCTTTCTGGGAAAACTTACGTAACAGACAACGTTCAGGCAGGTACAAGCTATTACTCAAGATTCTGCTGTGCAGCTGGTAGAAATATTAGCCTTTTTTTTTCTTTTTTAAGTCCATGAACACTAATAAGTGCTATAAATACGAACTATAGTTGAGAAAAAGACTGCTGTGAAAGATTTCACTTGTGCTGTGGGAACCATATCTTCTGGTCTTACTTATCAGATCCAGTGTCAGCTGCTATAGTGCACCACTACTATGAAGGATTTCAAGAAGTGTAGATATAGACATGTGGCATTCCCTGATCATGAAAAAGACAGTATATTTGATCTTTTTTTCCCTCATGTCACAATTCAGATACATGAGCTAATACATTTACTGTGTATACCATTACACTAATTCATCAGGTAACATTAGAAGTGTTTGGCTTAGCAAAAATGAAGTCTTAGTTTTAAAGAAAAGTACAGGCATGAAACAAGATATTAACTGATCTGAGGTTTAGACTGACAATTAGAAGAAAATCAGCGGTGTTTAGGGTGACTTTCTGTCGGAAGTGTGAGGACAAAAGCTCAACTGTTTTTTGGCAGATTTTGTCAACTAATGGAGATCCTGCAATGTAGCTGCTAGTTTTTAAGGAAGTGGATGACTTCACAGAGAAGGTTCCTTCACATTTTACTTTCTAAAGGCAAATCTGAAAGTTTTGTTGATGTGCAACAAATCATCAGAGTACTTTGCTGTAAGATACAGTCTTAGCACATAGCTGGGTTGTTTGAGAGTGCATGTCTGTCAAATCAGTAAGAGTAGGAGATGCTGATGCGTTAGGATATGTCTTCATTACATTTAACTAAGATTCTTAGAATCATTACAGCATTCATCTATGTA